GGATGGATGATGGATGGATGATGGATGGATGATGGATGGATGATGGATGGATGATGGATGGATGATGGATGGATGATGGATGGATGATGGATATGCTTTAAATGTTTACATTGCTGTCAGCTTCACATGAAACTGATATTTTGACAGAAATAAAAGTACTGCAGGAAGTGCTACAGCTATCTGCTGCTGCTACTTGCTCAAGCAAACAGCATGTAAATACCTCAGCTTTTATCTGCATCCAGACTAGCCATTAGCTCATCGCTTCTGTCAGAATCAAAGTGTTTGTCCAAACGGAGGTCGCTCAAAGAGCCACGGCAAACAGCTGAGCGTCTCCATGGAACCCACAGTAAAATGTGTGAACTGTCCCTTTAAGTTCACCTCATAAACTCTAACAGCGCTTCGATCCGAGGATGATGGACAACAACCCTCTTCTTCAGCATCAGGGCGGTGTACAAGATGACGGTTTCCACACCAAACTGAGAAACAACATCTGGACAAGAAAATCAGAAACGTGGCGCTAAACAGAAACTAGTGGGGATATTTTACTAACACACTCAACAGACTGCTCTCAGCTAGACATCTTGTTTTTTGAGTTTTTAATAATTTGATCATTAATGGTGTTAAAAGTTCATACCTGTCCAGTAACGGTGCATTTTATCGAGCCTAAGTGTAAGTAGTGAGTATGTTACCTGTAACAGATGTGAGTTCTTACCTTTGATCGATCCCGCCAGGTACGCCGTCTGGACATCGTAGTCCTTGATGAGGAACGAGCCGTTTTCGTCGCTCTGACAGATCCCTTTGGTGAGGACGGTGATGTAGGCTTCCATCATCGTCACCGGGCTGCCGTGCTTCATGTACATCCTGGAGAACAAACGTAAACACTACCCACAACTCTGGACACGAGCCGGTGCAGAACGTCATCGTCTTACCTGCAGAGGATTCTACCGAGAGCTGCGTACTTCTCCGGGTTGAAGTCTTTCGCTGTTATAGCAACTGAAAAATGAGTGACCTGTACGGACAAAAACCATTCCAGATGTTTCCAAACCGGGTTTTATTTTTTACAGCAGTGTAGAGAACCTGCGTGAGCCCTCATCAGTACCTTAGTCAGCGCCGTGGGCTCCTGGACCTCCACCGTGGTGATGTAGTACCAGGTCCGACTGAAGTGACCGAACACAAACGTGTGGAAGTCCCGTCCTTCCTGCGTCAGGCAGCACTTCCTGAGAAGCAGCTGCCGCAGCTCAGGGCTCACAGACGGATAACACCAAACCCACAGAGAGTCTCCGTTCACATCTTTCTCTGTTGGAGGAGAAACATCATGAGAACTCTGCTGGAACAACTCCTGGAAGCAGACCTCCAGCACAGGAAGTTAAACGATGCTGGAGCACAGTGAAGGTCCCCTTCACAACCATCACACTGTTGTCATGTGACCCTCCTGAAGGTCTCAGGTGCCGGCTTTTTCTTTACAAACAACTATTTAAGCATCAACAAAAACAAGAAATAAACAATTAAAATAACGAGACAGAAGGAATTTACCTATTAATCCGACGCTCAACATAATCTGTGCCTCAGTCGTTGCCATGTTTTTATGTAGAAAACAGCATCTGCCTTTCCTTATGGGGCGCAAATTTAACTTACAACAGCCTCAAGAGCTCCTCCGATGTCAAAAAACAAAAATACAAAAATGAATAAAGTAAATAATATCTATTTTTTATAAATCCAGTCGGTGGTTTGGGGTGACTCTTTAACTGTCAACAGATTTTCTCCATCTCTCTCTTCGGTCTTTTTCCTCTTCCGGAATGGGAAGCCAGTGTGGGCGGGGCCAAAACGTTCAGCCAATCACAAGCTGTCATACGGTGACGTAATGGTGCATTCATGTAAACCAGGATTGTTTTTATCTTCCCCAAAAATTATTCCAAAAATTTAAATACTGCTTAATTTTTTTTCAGGAGATTTGTTAAAATATCGAACAGTTGTATTAGTAAAAAGTTGTTTAGTGTGTATTTGTGCTATTTATAGCAAACACAGAAATTATCAACTATAATTTACAAAATACGAATTTCCTTTTTTTTTTTTACAAATTTATATATATAT